CAACGTACCTTTAACTTACCTTCGTTCGGTCCGTACGTTACGTAGTAGTGGTCGTTCGTTGTCGTACTCGTCCTCCTTCGTTACCTACGACTCGCACTCTCTCTCTCTCTCTCTCTCTCTCTCTCTCTCTCTCTCTCTCTCCACACTTCAATATAAGGTAAGCTCATCACCTCCAATTGACACTGCCACAAACTCATTCTTGCCCAACAAACTCTTCTATTCTATTCGTGTTTTCTCTTCTTTCCAGGTACAAACATAAGTTCTACTGCTTACCCAAGAAAAGAATACTAAGTTTCTCTGAACTTTATATTTGGCCATGATCAATTCAAAGAGGCTCTTGGAGATAGCACGCAAATGGCAGAAGAAAGCCAGGAGTCAGAGGAGGGGAATATCCCTCAAAAGAAATCCTAGTGATCAAATGGATTCAGTGGCTGTTGAGGGCCATTTTGTGATTTATGTTTCTTAACTGATTCATGATTCCGTTAACATTTCTTAACCACCCCATCTTTCAAGAGTTACTCTTGATGGTTGAAGAAGAGTATGGACACACGGGATGACGTCCTCTAACTGTGCCTTGCGGGTCATTTGTGATGGAGAACATAGTCTCCTTATTGAACAAGAATGCATCAAAGGAGGTGGAGAGTTTCCATGGCATGTTGCAGAGCCGCTCATCCTTCTCTAGTCCTTCATCAAGCAGTCTCCGAGCCAATCATTCTCCTGGGCTTTTGAGGCATGGGTTAATTGAAACCCTCAAGTTTCAATTTGAAAGGGCAACTGGATCATCTCCCATCTTTTTACATAAATTACAATTTTGTACCTAAACAAACTTTTTTATATATCTTATTTCATCAAACATATGGTTCTGGATGAATGGATCAAAATAAAAAGTTTTGTTGCATGGTTTTGAGATAAACAAATTTCTCATAAGGCAAATCCTGATCTAAATGTCTTAACAATATTAACTTGTGGATCCATACCATCTTCTTCATTCCGTTTTTCAATTTAGGACCATTAACAAGTCCAAACCGACCTATTCTAGGCCGCATGTTAAGGCCCACGGTCGGAGCCCCAAAATATTCGCAAGACAAGCCCCGGCAAGTACAAGCCCGGCCCAAAACATTTTTAAGTATATCTTTTTGTCTAAGGGTGATGACTTTAGACTTTTTTTTAACCCGTCCCATGTCTAGATAAATGAGGTAGATTGTGTTAGGTAGACAATGAATGTAAAATTTTACAAACACTTTTTAATACAAGGGTATTCCCCATAAGCAACGTACTATATCGAAATGCCTCACTTTATGTGTGACCCTTGATAGAATAGAATGGTGAAACATGATTTTTGTAACCGACCTCAAATAGTTGGAAAGAAACTCTGATGATGATTATTATTATTTCCATATTTATACAAGGTTAGCCTTATTTTTTCAGTCCCAACTAGGCTCAAGCCTCATTATGTGGGATGGACCCAAGCTATGCTCGAAACTACATTTGGTTGCCCGCCCTGACCTACTCGTACAGGCAACTTAGGCTAGGGCAGGCCCAACCTATTAATAGACGTATTTTAATTAACGGCTTCCAACTATTTTTGTAGGAGCTTTCAAATTTTCACTATTTTTAGGATTTGGAATCATTTTTCAACATAAGGTTGAGATGATTAATTAGAAGGTTTACCAAAGTTGGAACAAACTTTTCCAATGAATTTTTGAAACGCAACTTAATTTTATATTATTATTCATATTTTTTTAAATTTAATCCAATCAATTTAACTAGTCAGATCAGTTCTAACTAAATCAAACCCCTCATCAATTCAATAGCCGATCCAATCCTGATAATAATACTTGAGAACGGGATTTTAGGCGCATTTTACTTTTATCATATAAGGTTGGCACGTTATATACTACCTTTCTTTCATTCCATAAAGAGCGCACTCTAACAAGGAAAGCGTACTTCATCACGGCTGAAAGCCAATACCTGTGCCAAACAAAAGCTCAATAGAAACTGAGACCAACTTCTCATATGGTAATCGCATTACATGCATCTCAAAATCAAAGGAGAAGCATCCTCTATTAAATTAACAATGCCTTAATAACAGAAATAAAAGGACACACTAGACACTCTAAGAGATGAACACCTCCGCCAACACTTCTTCTGAATCCCATACAGAGGACACATACAGACACACGTCTAACCATGTCGGGGCGGTCGATATATGCCAACCTATGACCCCAGCTCCAATATGGGGTGGAGCTGTAACACCGGCAAAAGGGCCGTCTTTGGGTTCAAGATTGCTTCATGCAAATCTGAGAAGATAATCTTCAAGTTCTCCCTGGCAGCACATGGGACACAGTGGAACCGTTTCCATGCCATTTACAATCAATTTGTCCCAAACTTAGGCACCACCCAATGTTTTTGTCCATTCGTGATGCCCATCTCTACTTTTTTCATTATCTATAGCCAATGCCCACTAGTAATAACCAGGACCAACTCTCAAGAATATTGTAAACCCCGGTGGCCAGGGAATCAGGCAATCCAGATTGGATGGATCGCCCATTCCTACACATTCTATTTTATTTTTATTTTTTCCTTTCTCATTTTTCCAATTTTTTGTTTTTTATTTTTCATTTTTTTCATTATTTTTATTTTTATGGACTGATTCTCACACCAGTGAATCTGGTCAGATTCAGTAGATTTCTGAAAAGCTCGCTCACCTAACCCATCCAGGATTTGAAACATTGTTTCAAACAAACACCATGGCGCTATAAATAACAGCCATTATTTTAAAAAAACACAGTTACTTTGCAGCTGGGGCATGTCACTGTTATAAAATCTCTTTTCTTTTTTGACAAGTCCCTGCTAAAATGGCAGTTCTAATGGTGAAGTCATGGCTCAACATACAATGATATCCAGACTCCCAAATTCTTTGGCTCAGGTAAGAACTAAAGAATGCAAGCTCAGAGAGCATATCATGTAAGCTCAAGAATTCAACTGCAGAAGCAGAACACTACTAATCAAGCAGAAACTTTTCACCATAATAAACATGATTATTTAAAACTCCTAGGATTCTAAATAACCACGACATAAAAGTAGCAAAAAAACCACCCACAAGCAAAACGTATTATATCAATTTTTCATAAACTAGAAGATAAAAAATGACGACAGTTCCAAAGTATGATGCTCCTTGGCCATCCCATGAACCCACAAACCATATGAGAATGTACTAGCAACATCCTTAGCAACAAAACTTCAGCATAATCCAAGGGACAAACTCCCCTTGAACTTCTCTCTCTAATTTCCAAGATATTCCTTGGTCCCCACTTAAAAACTCATAACCAGAACATGTCTAATCAGAACTTACATGAACAAGTTGGGCCTTGATGCCTTGAATGTAGTCTTCAGCTTCCTGGTTGGTGGCCTGACCTTCCTGAAGACCAATGGGAACTTGATCCTGGAATCATGGAACTGCTTCGTGTTCTCTCTCTTGCAAAGCTTCGCTGGTATGGTGGCAGTTTTAATAATCTGGATGCATGGGCTCCTTACACGGTGGCGAGAGGCCATCTCATTGTACATCTGCTCCACTGCACCATTGAGAGTTGTATCCCTGTACTCCTTGTACATGTTATGATAACCAGTCCTACTTTGATACCTCAGCCAGATGCCGTAGTTCTTTATCTTTGTAGGTTTCTTCTCAAATATCTGTGATGTAAGTTGCATTTGTAACAAAAACATATCCAAACAGGAAAAAAAAATTTCTTCAAAGAGTTTTCCTCAAATATCTATTGCCTTGAGGGCATATCAGGAAAAATACATCCAAGTGAATTTCAAAGCAAACGGGCACATCATGGAGTATCATCATGCAACTCAAAACTAAATATTTTCCTCTTTTGAAGGTTCAACCCAAACTTTAATTGGCAGTAAGAATGGAGTAGACTATCTTAACGTCAGTCCAAACGGAATCTACAGTGTTGGACAAATTTTTGAGGGGGTATTGGGAAGAAATGATATGAAAATCAGCATCTTGGCCCAATGGTGACCCGAAATTGGCTAAGTGATCCAAAATACATCCAGCAAAATGACTAAATTGTTTTCAAATTTCAGGGCACTATTTTACAGGGTGAATTCTCGTACAAATTTGATCAAGAAACCCAAATGTTCCCTAATTCTGTACTTGAACCATATTTTAATTTTTCAGTTAAAACAATTCACAACTGAAACAAAGGTCAAACGTTACATCAATAAATAAAAAAAAGAAAGTAGACCAACATGCCTTTTCTTTTTGATCGGTACAAACCAATGAATTAAAAATCGGCGAGTCGAACCGGACTCGCCCGGTTTGACTCGGGAATCGGCACAGCCCGTGCCGGTTCCAGCACAAAACTGCGAACCGCTCGGTTCTAGAGCAGAACCGCCGGTTCCCACCCGGTTCTGTCCGGTTCCCTCCCGATTCTAGCCTCAAAAGCACCTTTACACATGTGTACTAGTCACACGTGCGACATGCACCACTCCCACATGTGTGTACTTGTTACACGAGATATACACACTCCCACACGAGCCACACACACTCCCACACGTGCCATACGTGCGACACGCACATGCACGCCTGCACATGTGCACCGGTTCTAGCCTCAAAAACACCTTCACACGTGCGTACGCGTCATACGTACGGCACACACTACTCCCACATGTGTCGCACATGCGACACACGCATGTACACGTGCATATGCACGGATGCCTAAGTGTTTTCACACTTGTGCTTATCTTCCAATTACATAGTTATTTATATAGCATATTTGAATACTCATCATTCGATGTAGGATAATTCCCAAACATCATTAAATGAAAACAGAATGTAAATATAAGGTATTAAAAGGTAATTTTAAACACATATGCTAAGGAGGTATGATGGTTATCACTAATGTTATTTGCTTTGACTTCTCAAGTTCGAATCCCTCCTTGGGCCATATAATAGTTTATCCCTTCTTGAGCTAATTTTTGTTCCCCCTTGGACATATAATAAATTAAAGTGTTATTTTCAAAATTTGTACGCATTTTATTAATTTTTACATTGATAACCAAATCTTTTATTTTATTTATTAATTTTTACATTATAAATCATATAATGTACTATTTTTCTTACAGTTGTCAATAATACATTTTAAATTAGATAATATTATAAAATATTTTTTAATTTGTTATTATTTATCTAATAAAATAATTATAAAATGTAAACTAAGAATTATAATTTCAGTATATAATATTATAATTAGTTAGGTTGTAATATTTTCTAGCGGATTAGGGTTTTTCGCCAAAACGCGATCTTAATGGCCATTCTTTCATTGATTTAGTCTACTCTTTATTATAGTCCATGTATAATTATATATTTTATCCATGATAATTCTATGATTTTTCTTTTATGTGATGCAAATTTAATACTTAAGTTTATACAGGGAAAGAGCATCTCAATATTCACAAATTGATGAAAAAATGAAAGTTAATAATGTAGTACCCTCATTTCTTATTGGATTCCTAAAAAACATCATTTATAATGAATTTTAATAATTTTTTCAGATTTTTTTGAAGCTTTAATCCGACCGATTCAGTCGATTCCTGATCCGGATCGTCGATTCGCCGATCCGGATCGGTTTTTGAGGTGCCCGATCCGGGTCACCAATCCGCTTTTTAAACCATTGGTACAAACCAATGAAACCAAGACCAGATTGGACTGGCCAGTCCGACCAGTAGGACAAGGAACTAGTACCCCTACCAATTGGACTAGTACCACAGGCATAAGGAGATGGTGCCCTTTTGCTTTTCTATTTTTTTGTAAATTTTAGCCATTTTGGGATGGTTGTGTCTTTTCCAATAAAGTTAAAGGGGGTTTTTTAATACGTGACATTTCGATTTAAAAGGTAAGTTTTTCATTCTTTTTTTCTCTCTCCTCTACCAAAAAGCCATAGTTTGGTTATGACGACTTTCCAGGAGAATCCAGCCCTTTATACTGCAACCTTTCAACATCCAAGTAAGATTGCTTGATTTATTCACTAAGTTGCTCATTTAGTAACTTATAGAACTTGGAAATAGTTTCGGTATCATCAGAGATTTCGCAAATAATGGTGTTTTTCCTTTAAATCATTGACAACCCCTTTAAAAATGTGCAGTGAGTTTCTTGCATTCAATGTAATTGTTTCTCGGCTCTAATCTGGCGGATATTTGCCTATCTGGTGGATTTTGTATTTTTTTTATGTCGGTATTTGCTTGTTTAGTTTTTTCTTTTACTTATTTTTATTTTTATGGATATTTAATACTTTAATTGGATTATGGGACTGTGGAAATGTTGAAAAATGTAAATTGCTCCATAGTTACGATTATGTGCATTTTTTAGTTATTTGATGTAAAAAGTTAAATTTTTAACTTTTTTTATTGTTCAACACCTAAATGCATACATGGAAAATGTTGAACCATGGATTGTTTTTCAGTATTTTCAGTCTCTCTTGCTATTGATACAGGTATGGATAATCATTTTTTCGTGTATCTATGAACTTAAAATATATTGTTCCTGATAATTTTCTGAGTTTTTCTGGATTCTTCCATTTTTTATTTTCCTATTCTTCCCTCTTTTTCAAGTTGTTATTTTTTTACCAGATTATTTATTTTTTAAACTCAAAAAGCAAGACAGGTGAACTGGTCCAGTTCGACTGGTCCAACTGAACTAGTGCCTCCACCTGTCTAATTTCGATCGAATCCTGACAACATTGATACAAACATGTTTCATTAGTTAAACAAAAAATATAAATAAAACTAGGGCCCGTGAAGACATCCCACTATCCATTGAAATGAACCATGATTGATACAGAGAACCATCATTGAACTCATATCATGTATTGGTAGATCCACTCTCCATCACTTTCCAAAATTTCAATACAGTGACGAAGCCAAGGACTAGTGTCTATAGGATTATAGTATACTCTATTAGTCAAGTGTGGCATACATGCTATGTAAATCAGAATATTCATGAAAGGCATTATATCATTTAAACAACCATGAACATACGACAAGTAGATGCTGCAAATATTACACAAAAATTGGCAGACCTCATTGATTGCCAGCACTTGCCCATTGCTCTTCTTCACCTTCTTGAGCTTCCTTAGAAAGTACCTATGCATAAATTTGGAAAGTACATGGTGCCAACACTTATAAAATATGTAACAATTAACAGGAAAACAATCAGACAAATGCATTTATGCAACAAGTAACGTGAAAACAGTTAGACAAATACAATTTACAAAGGAATCTATCATGATCATTGTAACCAACAACACTAAGAAGAATGGAATGACTCTCAAATAAGTTACAAGCATGCAGACAAACTTATGAGTTAGCATGTTCTAACAACTCTATCATGGGGTTTATCACATCTTCAAAGACAAAAGCAGAAAGTAAATTGTTTTTGCTAAAAAGATGAAATATAACTCCACACATATTTATAAACAGGAAATATTCCAGTAACCCATCTCATTTCTCTGCATTTAAATTTATCATAAAAAATGCATGAATAAATAAAGGGAAAATATCCTTTAAGGAGTCAAAACCCTTTACAAAATTATTAAAGGGTCAAAAAATAACCAGATTAACATTAGAAGGTTTATATTTAAATTTTCAAAATAGTAAAAAATGCCTAAATTGCCATTATCCAAGGTTGGGAACTCTAACAAGCAGGGCCATTTCAATAATTTGGACCACCCAGAACAAGCAGGTTTGCTCCCATAATTTGGTAGGGGCCTCTTCAGTGGGACAAAATTCTCAAATGCCCCTACTTGTTGAGAGTTCTAAATCCTGAACAGGGAGAAGCGTTTTTTAGATATTTCTTTTTTTGTAGAGGCACCTGAGTAAAATTAAAATTAATTATAACCTCCAACGTTCATCTGGATGTTTTCATCCACTTTATGATTTTGTAAGGGACGTTGACCCCATACATGATATTTTCCCATGAATAATCTATCATATATGCTAAATGTATCGTCAAAACCAGTGATTCAAAAGTCGGCGAGTCGAACCGGACTCGCCCGATTCGACTCGGGAACCGACACACCCATGCCGGTTCCAGTGAAATACCGAAAATCACCATGTGAGGTCATGAATCTCCCGATTCTTCGATTCATGACGTCATGGCCCATATGATTCTTTAACAGTGCATTGTCATGGGCATTTTTGTAAATTTCAAGGTAAGATAGGTTAAAAATTACATAAACCTAAGGTCTGCATACCTCGCCACGTGGCTCTCTTTGCTTCGCACGCGTTATCCTCGTTGGGTACAAAGAGGTATTTATTCACTAACAGTTCCTTTTACCTCTTCGATGTAGGACAATGTGAAAAAGTATTAACTTGAAACGCAAATATATTATATATTTTGTTTGCGCTTTTAATTTCACTAAGTTGCATGTGGCATACTGACATTGGTTCGAATCCCCTCTCAGAAGGAAACGGTTTTTTTTTATTTTTTTTTGTTTAATTTTTTTCCTATCAAAAAAATGAAAGGTTTTTTTTATCAATTTCGCTTTTGGTCAAAAAAATTTCTTATAAAAAAAACGACAGGTTTTTTTATCAATTACACCTTTTTTCAAATTTTATTCTTATCAACAACATAAAAAGTTTTTTATAAAAAAATTTCTTATCAATTATTTTTCTTGTCAAATTTCTTTTTTTTGTCAAAAAAATAAAAAGCTTAATCCGACTGATTCGGCCTATTCACGAACTGGATCGCCGATCCGGATGGGTTTTTGGGTGCCCCGTGGTTTAAAAAGCGGATCGGTGACCCGGATCGGGCATTTCAAAAACCCATCCGGATCGTTGAATCGGCGATCCGGATCGGGAATCGGCCGAATCAGTCAGATTAAGCTGTAAAAAAAGTATAAAAAAATTATTAAAATTTATTATAAATGTTGTTTTTTAGGAATCCAATAAGAAATCAGGGCACTATATTATTAATTTTCATTTTTTTCATCAATATGTGAATATTGAGATATTTTTTCTCTAAATGAACTTATTTTAACCATTAAATTGCATCACACAAAATAAAAAACATAGAACTATCATGGACGAAGTATATAATAATACATGGACTACAATAAAGAATGATTTTTTTATAAGAACATTTTAGTTTTTTGACAAAAACCTTTTATTTTTTTACAAGAAATGTTTGTCGTATAACATTTTTTTTGTTTTTAGCAAGAACTTTTTTTTTTTTACAAAAAATAGATGTTGTATTATTTTTTTTTTATAAGAACTTTTTTTTTTTACAATAACTTTTTATTACATTTTATTTTTTTGATTC